GATGGAAAAGTCAGCTAAACTCATATCGTTGTGGGAAAATTCTACTACCAGTCCTTCATCACCTTACACGAAATAGGGTGAATACATCTCATCACACTGATTTACTGGTAGTCTCGAAACCCTACTTTAATACGAATATAAGTAACGTTGTCGATTACTATAGAAAACATAACAGTGGTAGTCTCAAAACCCTACTCCTTACGGAGTATAAGAAAAGTATTGTTGTGTCTCTCTATCTTTGAGTCGATTAATTGAATATGAAGAGAAACTGGGTTTAAATGAGTCTCTTGATATAACATTGTAAGGAGTACTTTTATTTCGTATGAAAGTGAATGAAGAAGAGATTCGTTTGTCGATCTCACCAGATGAGGACGGATGAATCCCGTTGTACGGCAGCCGTTTGGCTTTTATACGACGTTCAGGTTGACGCAGTCCACGAGATCTCCTCCCTCGTTTCGGATGAAAACGGACTGAGCTTTCGTCCATCATTCGATGGACATCATCAGAGCTGGATGTCATTCTTGTAACAGTCTCACGTTAACACTAAAGCAAGAACACTATCCGGCTCTGTTTTACTTCTTAGATAAACTCAAGTAAGCAAAAGAAAATTAATAAACTAGATGAATATAGAGTGGTTTGGCTAATTATATTTCATACGGGTACTGCTACTTTTGCTCGAGTGTGTGCGTTAGCGTTTATATGCAACACGGTTCCTAATTCAGAGTTATCAAAGTTTTACTCTCAGCTTCTGATCATCAAGACCTAATGACCCAAGAGAAAGTCTTGACTGAGACTGCGTAGGCCAGTAAACAATTATGGTCGAGATGATGAGATATGAGCTTGTAAGTATGCAAATCAAGTCACGAAACCACTTTTTCTAACCTTTCAGTCTAGGGTCATTAACGTTTAACCCTTCAAGAAAAGGCAAGACTAGGGTTGCGTAATTTGACATGTCTGCTTTAGTTGATGAGCTTACTCTAACATGTTGGACGAGTGTGAGTGAAGCTAGAATCATCATTGAGTCGGTTTCTTTATGACGGTGGTCCAACACCCTTTCTCTCTCTTTAAATCTAGCAATCAAGCGTAAGTAGTTCCTACTCAACTTTCTACCATCGTTCCTCACATTCAAAGTATTTTCTAAGCTATTAATTTCAATAGCCTCTCTTATATTCTTTTAACCACAGACGTACCATAATCAACAAACCTACTAGTTTGAGACCATTCTATTTCATGTCCAGTTTCTACCATG